CCCTAGACTCTCTGGGTCAGTTCCTTAACCCGAATTTTCTCAACTGTTTAAAAATATTTTCTCAGTTGCAAAACAGAGTTAACATTAACTCTCCAGTAATCTATACTAAATATAAACTTTTATTTTTAATAGTCCACATGTTATGTTTGTCAAATGAATCAGTCACAAAATGACTATTTGAAAAATGAACTATTTGAAAAAGTGTAAAATGGGTAATTTGAAGTACACCAAACACTATATAATCCCTCACTAATTCAACTTCTCACCTAGCAGTTCTAGAAGCACTCCATCCTGTAGTCACTGCTTTGAAAGAAAAAATACAGGAAATAAATGTATCTCAAAGGCCTCTAAATATGGCCCTCGAACTAGGCTCCGCCTAGACAGATGAAGAAAAACGTCTAAAACGAAAACATCCCTTTCCAGAGTTTTCAATAGTGAAGTGTTGAGAATATATCCAGAATGCCTTTCTCCTGATTTCCAAGGTCTAGTAACCAAGGTATTTTGTTCCTCCCCACCTAAGGAAAGTTTAACAACATAGCTAGTATTTAGTGGCTGTTCATTAACACGAAGCACTTTAACTACATTTGCTTTTAATCCTCACAAACTGTTTATGTACATTAATAATTTGTGGAAAGGCAAATTTTACAATCATAAAAGAATGTATAATTGCGGTAACAAGGAGCTGGGAAGTGGGGGAGAATGTGAAGTTATTGGTAATTCGGGGCGATGAAAAAGTTCTACACATAAATAGAGGTGATGGTTGCACAACTCTGTGACTGCCCTTAATGACACTTAACTGTACACTTAAAATGGTTAAAACTGCAAATTTTATATTATATGTTACCAGAAAATTTTTTAGAACTTGTAGGAAATCAAATGTTTGCCCAGCCTTCTTCCTCCTCTCCTCCCTCCACTGTTGCACGTCGGGAGTCAAAACGTCTTTTTTTTAGATGACTGTAAACAAAATGAGTGAGCTTCACGGGAACACAAGAGGGTACTTTAAGGAAATTTTTAAAACCAAGGACCCGAAACAGAGCCCCAAGCAGGACTCGAAAGGTGACGGAGTTTAGAAGTCGGTGGCCACCCGAATGATGGAAAATCTTCCCCTAGAACGTATTTCTAAGGGTGAACACGAAGCAGAAGTCCCGATCTCTTCATAAATACCTACTGCGCACCTGGGGAGGAAGTGAGGGATGCGGCCAGGGACTTGAGCCAGGGCCAGGAGCGTGGGGCGAGGGGCAGTTCCGACCCACGAACCTCTCGCGGGGAGGGAGAGGGAGGCGGCGCGCGCCAGAGCTGGGGAGGGAAAAAGGAGGCGCCCTCAGCCGGCCTCGCGGTCCCTGCGGACACCTACCCGCCTCCGCTACCGTTTGCCCGGGCCGACCACGCGCTAAACCCTTTGCGCGCACTTCCCCCCAGCCTCCACTTCACTTAGTTGCCCTCGGGAAACAGACTCCGGGCATTGGAGGTTTGGGGGGAGATGTGAAACCACGCGCCCAAGGTCACACGACAGGCGAACGCGCAGCGGACTCGGGGACTCGTCGGCTCCAGGGCCCGCCCGCGCCATCATCCCCGCGCGCCGAGGCCGGATCTAAAGCCTCGGCGTCGGCCCGACCTGGAAGGGGCCGGGGGAGTGGAGGTCCGAGAGCTGAAAGGGAGGTACAATCCTTGAGGCGCCCACCGGGGCCGCCGCGCTTCACTCCTGACGGCCTTGGCCTCCCCCACCCTCGACAGGCCCTGCAGGGAAAGCCTAGGCCGAGGCCGCGCCGGGCGGAGGCGGCCAACAGACCTAATGGGGCCAACAAAATGCCCGGCCTGGGACAAGGAGCCGTAACATACTCACCCTTTCGGGACCGGAGCCCCGTTGCCGCTCGGCGCGCCAGGCGCGCCACTCTCTCCCTCCATTTTGGGCTCCGTCGCCGCCACTTCGGCCGCTGCTTCGACCCCTGCCGCCATTTTCTCTGCGTCTGGGCTTTGTGTGAGGGACCGAGCTGCGCTGCGCTGCGCCTGCGCGCTCACGTGACCCGGCGCGACCAGTAACGCCTGCGCGCGCCGCCTCCGCCACTTGCCTCATCCCCTCCCGCCCTGGGCCACGCCCCTGCTCTGGGGGCCACACCCCCTCCGCGCGCAGGCGCAGACTGCCGGCTGTTATTCATTCCCGCTATTAACTCTTGTTAAGCACCTAATGGATACTGCACCCGCTCTCGAGGTCTGGTAGGGGGACGCATCTCCCCACCCCCGAACCGGACCTAGTCACTCCCAGCTTTCGTAATCAGCTGGAGCAGAGGGGCGGCGAAAGTTCTGTTTACTAATATATAAAGGAGTTAACCAGGCAAGGGCAGAACAGGGACGGTCGGGCTGTAGGACTGGTGTGCAAAATGCTATGCCTCTAAACAAGTATCATTCTGCACCAAGAATAACTGCGCTCTGTCTGGCCTGTCTCCCCAACATGCTGGGAGCTTCTGGGTGCAGAGCCCGTACCCTAAGTCTTTCTAACTGAACCCATCAACCAACACCCAAAACTCACAGCTGGGGACTTAGTATGTGCTTAAGGTTCTTGAGTGACTAAATGAACAAGAAGCCAATGTGATGGGAGAAATGAACTACAGGCCAGGAGATACCATTAACTTCAAATGGGACTTTCTTCCTGCCTAACCCTGAGTCCCTCTGCCCTAAAGGCTTGTCCCTGTTCCCAAACTGGTTTTCAGGGCTGTTCCTGTAACAGCCCTGGGCAAAGTCCAGGTAAGAGGCCAGAGCCTAGGGAAGCAGAGAGGCCGCAGACTCCCTTCCCATCTCTCTGGAGTCTCTGGAACTTTGAAATGCTTCACTGAATCTTGCAGAAGAAGTTCCCATCTAACCACCAAACTCTCTTGAGGCTCACAAAGGGAAAGTTGTTTTTGTTTTTCCACCTCTCACAGAATGACTAGATTACACTAGGCTCTGGTGGAGTTTCTCACCTGCCACATCCTCCCAACTGCTTAATTCCGCCTAGTGATTCTGACCCAGGTTGAGAACTCCAGGCCCAGAGAATAAATTTACCAGGTAGCCCAGTGTGACAGGAGGGCTGTGCCTCACACTCTCTTTCCACTTCCATTCCCACATACTTCCCAAAGTCACCTGTCTCACAGAATTCCCTTCTCTGGCCCATATCCTCTTCCCACACCTCTTACTAAAATCTCCTCTCCTAAAATCCACTGTGCAAACTGACCCTTCTCCCATGGCCCCACTGAATGTTTATCTTCCCCCTTAGACTTTTCCTACACTGGAGGGGCCCCTGGGGCAGAAGGACCCTCATAAACTTCTGAATTTCCTTGCCCAGCAGGGCTCAGAGATGGTGGAAGAGACCACAGCAGTCTGTCAGAATCAGGGAGGAGTCCCAATGCAAAGTATCAGGGACAAGAAGCCAGCTCTTTGTTCCTATCTCTTGCTGTGGGTGTGACTGGAGATTAGGGACAAACCAGGCCCTGGCTGAGTTGACAAACTCTTCCAGGCTGGGCTCCTCCCAGATTTCCAAGTTTTACCATCTTCTGAACTATTATTTCCTTCGCACTTTCCTTTAATCAACATACTTCTTTTTCGTTTAAAAGCATGTTTTAAAATTGTGCTTTACATCACAGCCCATATTGAAAACTTACTTTAAGTAGCTTATTGTAAAAAATAAATAAGATAATGATGCTGTTAAAGTATAAATTCAGTCGTGCACGCTGCCAAAGTCTCTAAGCCTAAAACTTTCTCTCTCTCTCTTGGCTAGGGTTAGGGGTCATTAAAGACATCCTAGCATCAACCTACAACTTTCTCCTGGATATAATTAAAAGTATTAGAAGAGATTTTCAAAAGAAACAGCTTTCTCTTTTTGTGATGGAATATCCTGAGGCCTCTCTGCACAGACTGCAAAGATGGCCTGACAGTTAGGTGCCAGGCCTGGGTACAGAGTAAGCAGCTGCAGAGGCAAGAAAGGTATAATCCTGTTTCTGCAGACCACCAGATGCCTACGAAGCTCTGCTTGTCATCCTCTCGTGTACTCCTCTGCCCCTCAATCACAGCATCCTAGCACTGTCATCTGCCATGCTGCTGCTTCTACAGGCCACATGGTACCAGTCCCCAGGCCTTTGCTCTTTGCTATTCTCTCCACTCCACAGCCAGGCTGGCCTCTCCTTGCCCTTCTAGTCGTGGGTAGAAAGGATTTTTCTCTCTCTGGGGTGAGCCACAGACCAGACAGGGATTCATGCAGGAAACAGAACGAGCCAGACACTGAGCTAGACCCATCAGAAATGCGTGACCTTGGATGACTGACACCACTGCTCTGAGCCTCAATTTGCTCATCTGCCAATGGGATTAATAAAAGAACCCCAAGACCCACCTTTCAGGACTGCTCTGAGTATTAAACGTGGCCTGATGCAGAGAGCCCTCAAATGCGAAAGGCTCAGAAACTGCTCAAGAAGTGGGTGTTGTTATTAGCATGACCATCTTTTGATTTTTTCCTGAGTCCTCCTGGAAGGGGAAGCACAAAGCTCAGCACTGGGGCCATGGAGACCCATGGTCAAACCCAACTCCGCTCCCAAGAGCTGTGGGAACCTAGACAGAGGCTCAGTTTTCTCATCTATAAAGTAGCGATAACAGCCATTATGCCTGCCGAGGATGGTAGTAAGAGTTAGAGGAGGCCTGTGAAAGCTCCAACTGAGCCCCATCCAGGGTGACCTTCGGTAAGTGTGGGCATCAGTTATTAATGATTATAAAGGGTCCAGCATGGCATCTGGCCCACGGGAGATGCAAAGTAAGTGGAAACTCTTCTTCTTATGTATTGTTATTTTAAATCATTTATTATATAACCCTGCTACCTGCTTTTCACTTGAAAACTCAGACTTGGCTTCTTTTGCTGTGTTTCACGAAAATCCTTTGAACCAGCCCAGTGTACTTTTTTCAGCCTCTGTGTGGTCCCTGAATCCCCTTAGTCCCTCAACTTTGAGGTCTCGGTTCCAAAAATGTAATTGACAAGTCCATTTCATCCAGCAAGGTCTCCTTTTATTCATTTGAGGTGGGTTTTTGAAATGCGGTGCCAGGAAAGTGAGCCTGCCAGGTGCAGAGAAGCACAAGAAGCTTGCAGAACCTCTTGCCCCACAAGCGCCCTCGACTCGCCTATGGCCACAGCTGCTGGCCCGCAAGGGGCCGAGTGGACCTCAGAATGAGATCTAGGTGCCTGCTCCATCTGAAGCTCAGGACGACATCCATCTGTCCTCCTCACATATAAAAAGTGTGCAGAACAATCTGAAAATATCTTCACATGGGATCACAGAATCAGCTCCACTTGGCATCTCTTGGCCTAAGAAGCATTCTGGCCGTGCAGGAAGGGTCAGGCAGTTTCCGTCCTTCCAAATGCCAGGGCATCACCAGCTGCCTCTGGCCCTGCCAGCCCAGCCTTCACACAGGTGTCTCCTCTGCCACCTTCTTCAGGATTCCAGCTGCCAGCAGGGAGTGTTGGGTGGCCTCAGAGCCATCTGCATCCCGGATCTTCAGGCGCACTTTCTGGTTGGTCCTTCTCCACTCAGTGTATAGCTGGCAATGATAGCGGAAGGAGACCTGCGGGGCAGTGTAGGGATAGGTGGAAAGGCCAGCGGGCAGGCCTCCGCCCTCAAAGGAGGAAAACCGGGCCCCTGAGGTACTGGCCTTGGCCCACACCACGCCTGGGGTTCATGCTTCCAGAAGCAGAGTCAGCCTCTGAGCATTTTTCGTAAAGACTGTGCACACACCCCCATTCACTTTCCTAGAGGAAGTCTCCACTAGGGTTCAGGGCCCTGCAAAAGTAAGGGGTTTCTCAGAGGGTAGGAGTGAAGTGGAATAGCCTCTTCGAAGGGATTAAATGTCAATGGATTATATAATTGCCAAAACTTGGAAGCCACTAAGATATCCTTCAGTAGGTGAATAGATAATTAAACTGTAGGACATCCAAACACTGGAATATTATTCAGCTCTAAAAAAAAAAAAAAAAAAAAAAAAAAATGCTATGGAGCCATGAAAAGACATGGAAGAACCTTCTTAAATGCATGTTACTCAGTGAAAGAAATCAATCTTTTCAAAAAGGCTACAAACTGTATGATTTCAACTCTATGACATTCTGGAGAAGGCCAAACTATGGTGACAGTAAAAGGATCAGTGGTTGCCAGAGCACAGAAGATTTTTAGGACTATGAATCTATTCTGTATGATACTGTAATGGTAGATACATGTCATTATACATTTATCCAAACACATAGAATGTCCAACACCAAGAGTGACCCCGAATGTAATCTATAGACTTTGGGTGATAATGACATAGATGTCAGCGTAGCTTCATCAACTAAGAGAAATGTACCAGTCTGGTGACATGTTGATAGTGGTAGAGGCTGTGTTGTGTCGGGAGGAGAATATATGAGAACTCTGTAGTCTCTCCTCAGTTTTGCTGTGAACCTTAAACTGTTCTAATAAAGTCTATAAAAATTATTTTTAAATAAATGTCAATGGTTCATACTCTTTGACCAAGCAAATTCCAAGAAACATTTGCATGGGTGGTGCCCCAATGCAAAAAAAGCACTGTTCTTAATGGCACAAAAATAATAAATAAAAGGAAGAAAAGGAAAATTAGCACTGGAAAGCATGCCAGAGCCTACCTAAAGGGATTAGTTAAATCAGTGTGATACACCCATACGGTGAATGGTTGCTGAGTGGCTGCCTTTTTTTTTTTTTTTAAAGACAATAGCAGAGTGAAAACAAGCAGACTGGAAAGCAGTACCTATGGTTTCATTCTATCTGTATTTAAAAATATGCCAGTGGATGCAATAAAAAATAATTTTTGAGGAGAGAATGTCCCCACAGGTGGACAATAGTAATTATATCTGAGGGATAAGTCATTGTGGGAGGAGGGAGTTTCTCTCTGAGCAAGGGTTCTACACTTGATCTTAGCCAAAAGGCCAAGCAGCGATGAGCAAGGGTTCTAATGCCTGCCAGAGACCTGGAACAATTCCCCCCACCCCAGTCCCTTTCTCTGTTCCAGTTGCTTTTCTCTCAGTCTCTTGGTCTTCCCCTCATTCTCATGCTCTTTTCTCTCCATCTTTCGGTCTTGGTCTCTCTGTCTGTCTGTCTGTCTTCTGTCTATCTGTCCGTCTGTCTCTCCCCTCACCCCAGCCCAGTCCAGTCTTGGTGGGCCCGTGGATGGCAGGGTGTACAGCCGCTACTGGTGATCAGATGCCCCGGTCTCCTTGGAGCAAAAGGCTCACGCCCAGCTCAGGCTTCCCTGGACCTTAGTAGGGCTTAGAATCTGGAGTTCCATGAGTCTCCGGAAATTACTTCCACCAAAGGCCATACATAGAGGCAGGCAGGGAGCCCCCCTCAAAGCCAATGACCAAACCCCTGGCTTGGCAGCTCCCAGTTGGAGAACCCCAGACGCCTACTCTCCAGCTGATACCACTCACCAGCGTCCAGAGAACATAGATGGTAAAGAGGGCGATGGTGAGGGCGATGAGCCCCACGGCCTCGAGCCGGCTATGGAGCCGGAGGTGGTCCTGGGCTCCGCGTAGGCACAGCCAGCCCGAGATGGCAGCCAGCGGCGTGATGAACAGGAAACATACCATGTCACAGCACAGCGTCCGCTTCTCTGTCCTAGGCCCTGGGTCCTTCAGCCACTGCAGGGGAGTGGGGGAGCTGCTGAGGGGGCTACACACTACCCTCCCACTAGCTCCCACCTGGGGATGGGGCCTCCAGACCCTGTGCCTCCCTCTGCCGACACCTGCCATGACTGCTGGGCCCTATAGGACCAGCCTCCCGCCTGGCACCCGCCCCTCCTCCTTTCCTTCCTTCAAATACTTCTTGAGTCTAGGAAGAGCCAGGGCATTTTTGCCCCATTTTACAGATGGAGAAACTAAGAGGAACAGAGGGGCTGACTCATTTGTGCAAACTCACATGGCCAGTCACCCGCAAAGCCAGGACCGGAAGCCAGGAAGTCTTGTCCCAGGGGCTGTGCTACACTGCCTGCTCTAGATGACTGGGTGAGAGAAGTGGGCTTCACTCAAGAAATTCTGGTGAACAGGACAGAAAGGGTTCCCACCCTCCCAGAACTCCCACACTCGTGGAGTGAGGTATGAAATGGGGCAGGTGGTCAGGGAGGAGAAGGCCTTGCTGAGGAAGTGACACTGAAGAGAACCAGAGGAGCAGAAGGAGCCACATGAAGAATGGGGGTGCTCCAAGCACCAGTAATAGCAGATGCAAAGGCCCTGAGTTAGGAGTGTGTAACCTGGACAAAGTGCAACAGGAAGGAAGCCCACATGGCTGGAGCATGAGGGAGAAGGGGTGGGTCCTCCTTCCCACTGTTCTCAAACAGCCCAGCTTCTGGGTGGGCCAGGGGCCTTTCCAGGAGCCACACCTCAGCCCAGTGACATCCCCTGCAGCTCTCAGCTGCCCCCTGCCAAGCTGGGCAGGGAGGAGCCTAGAGGACATCTAGGAGGCCAGCAGGGCTCTGGGGAGCCTCAAAGAACCTGCCTTGTCTGGGAATGCCCCGTCTCAACCCTGGCCCACTGCGCTCAGGCTGGCGTCTAAACTCCCAGGCACAGCCCACAAAGCCCAGTGTGGCTCCTTCCGGACCACTCTCCCCCCTGCTTTGACTTGCTCCACTCCAGCTACTTAGGCTTCATCAAGAATCCCAAGCTCTTCCTGGTCTCAGGACCTTTGCACTTGCTGAGCCCTCTGCCAGGACTGCGCTTCCCCGGGTTCTTGGCATTGCTGGCTCCTTTTCATTCCTCAGGTCTCAGCTTCAGGGGTCATCGGAAGTGACCAAATCAGGAAAGGGGCACAGGGTCTGTCAAGTCTGGAACCTCAAGACTGGGTCCCCACCCTCATCAGAGGAATCTAACCTAGAGTGGGGGGGAGAGGTCCATCCTCTAGAGAAGCTGTTCCCCAGCCCACCAGATTCCTCCAGGGCAGTTCCCCGCCACCAGGCCCAGGCCTGCCTTCCTCCCCTGCCCACACCAACCTCAGGCTCAGGCTCCCAGTGTACCTCTGTGAGGGGCCGGGGCCGCTTCTCCACTGCAAACTCCGTGTGGCACAGCTCACAGTAACTGGTGTTGGATGAGGAAAGCCACCTCTCCAGACAGCTCTTGTGCACGGCGCCCAGTGTGCCCGTGCAGCCACACGGAGACAGCAAGCTTTCTCCATTCGCTCCCTCATGGCAGATTCGGCAGAAAGGACCATCACTGGACATAGAGAAGAGACATGTGAGCAATGATCAGGCTTCCTGCCTACGCCTGATTCACTACCCACTGGATCACAAGCTCAGTGTTGCCTCTGTGCTGCCGGTTGGCAAACCCCTAGTCATTCTTCGACACGCAGCTCCAAATGTCGTTCCCTTTGGGAAGCCTTCTCAGACTCCCACAGGTGGAATGATATACTCTCTCCCCAGGATTCCTGCAGCATCTTTTTAGGCCCAGGGTGAGTATCTCCTGTACCTATCTGCCCCATGTCCACTCCTTTTCCTGCAATACCGCCCTGATCATCCTGGGCAACCACCCCAGTCTTAAGTCTCAGTGTTCAAGAGCTGAGCTGACGATACCTCGATGACCTCAGGCCAGACCAGTCAGATGATGAAGCACCCCTGGGCATGGGGACCTACTCATATCATATGTGATGCAATCAGAGCCACAGGGAATTAATTCCTGAAATTCTTCCCCCCTCCCCCCCACGCCCAATAAATTCCAGAACTACAGGCAGCATGGCTGATGTTAAGTCTAGAGCTGGTGGAGGCAGCCTAGGTCTCCACATGGAGTCTGTGAATGATGCCAAAAACAGGAAAGCAGAGCCAAGAGAAAGGGAAGGGTAGATTCTTAAGAAAACCAATCAGAGGCGCTGGATCTAGCCACACCTGAAGGCCAGGCTACCTGAGAAACCTGTGCATCCAGGGAGAAGAGCTCCGCCGCGCCTCTGCCCTGTGAGGCTCAGAAAACAGACATAACAAACGTCACAGAGAGCCCCTTCAGGGAAGTTTCATCTCCTGCCGGGTCTCTGGGAATGTTGGTCCTTCCTGGGGCAGCTCAGGAGGCTGGGGTGTGGCCTTGGTGGGCACAAAGGCTGTCAAGTGTATGAGTCATTGTTTTCCAGACATTTCTGCCCAGAGAGCCGACTGCGGGAACAGACAAAGGAGGTGGAGCAGGAGAGCAGTTTTCCAGAAAACACATTTCCCCTTGGAAACTGTTTTCCATCCTCTTCTCAGCAGCTCCTACTGGTGGGGCAGGGCCTGGCTGCTTTGAAACCAGAGACGAGCTGAACCCTCATGACTGCTTCCTGTCCCCAGTCCTGCACAGGCTGCTGCTTTCTCCCACAAGGTCAAAAAGGCACGCCCAGCTGCACTTTCACCCCACTCCCTGATCCCACATCCCTCTCACACACACTTAAAGTTCACAGGAAAGGAACCCAGCTCCGGAACCCAGTCTCAGGCAGTGGAAGTGACAAGAACCTTGAGGAAGAGCCACATCAATTTGGGGTTTGTCTAGGGGAACTCTACTTTGGAGGAGCAAGTTCAGAGAGAAAACCAAACAAACAAACAAACAAAATAGATTGATGACTGAGTACCTATTATGTACTGAGCGCTGTTCAAAGTACATCTTCGATTGATTTGTCTCATTCTCACAGGGAGCCTAGAAGGAAGGTGCTCCATTTTAGAGATAAAGAAACTGAGGCATCAAGGGGTCAACTCGGCTATGCAAACCCTCACGGCTAATCATCAGCAAAACTGGGATTTGAACCCAGGAAGACTCATTCCAGGGCCTGTGTACCCCTGGTCACTATGCTCTGTATGCTGCCTGCCACAGATGATGGGGCAAGGAAAACGGGCTTCACTCAGGAAATTCTGGCAGGAAAATAATTCACATAAGACAGATGGGAAGGGAATGGGGTCAGGGAGTGGGGAGCCATCCACAGACCACAGCGGGCTGCCCAGAGAATGCTCCAAGAACAAAAGGAGAAAGGGGTGTACGAGCGAGGAAGCAAACAGAAGTCGTGGGGAAGATGCAGCAGGGAAGGCCAAACAGAATGGCTGGGGATGCAGAAACACTCTGGGAAGCTTCTAGAAAGGCCTGGGTCCACTCAGCTTGGTGGGCAGAGAGCCGAAGGCTCAGGGGCCAGAGAAGCCCCAGATGCTGGCCACAAGCCCAAGCCTTTGTGGATTGTCCTGGGCCCTGGAGATGCCTCCTAGGCCTTCCTCTTTCGTCTCTGCAGGTTTTGAGGTCCAGAACTTTCTGCCCCACCTAGTCTCTGCCATAGGCCCCCAGGAATCAGAGTCTACTTTGAATCAAAATGGAAGGCTTGATTATTAGGGGTACTGGGCATTACATCTGCTGTTCTTAGATGGCACAGGCTGGCTAGGAAGAGTTACGAGGGAAGGGGTGGGCAGGGGGATGGCGATCTGCTTGAGCAGCCTCTGTACCTGCTGGCAGTGGTGGGAAGATCCTCATTTATTCCTAGGGAGACTGGCCAGGAGGCTGTAGGGAAGGCCACATCCCTAGATGATGACAGTTCTTTGGAAAAACAGTGACTTTCTTTATGGAAAGGGCTGATCTGCCCTGGTCTTCAGCCTAGCTAAAATGGAATTGAGCTGCATCAAGTGGTGGAGAAGAGAAGCCATCTCAGCTTCTATCAGCCTTCTCCTCGTCCCCCTGCCCAGAAAGCTCCGGCTAGGAGGCCCCTGGATCTGCCAAGTGTCCCCTCAATTGAAGCCTGGCTTGACTGGCACAGACCTAGTCCTGCCTTCAAGGGATCTGATGAGGATGCAGACATAAAAACCGATGCCCTGATGTGGTTCCATAGTATAGTGGTTAGCACGTCTGCTTTACACACAGAAGGTCCTGGGTTCACGCCCACGGTCAATGGTCTACAGCCATGCCACCCTGAACAAGCCCAATGTCTGATCTAAGAAGCTAAGCAGGGTCGGGCCTGGTTAGTACTAGGATAGGAGACCACCTAGGAAGACCAGGTGCTCTAGGCATAAATAATAATAAATTTAAAAAAAAAAAAAAAAAAAACCATGCCCTGAAAACTGGTGCAGCCATTACGGAAAACAGCATGAAAATTCCCCCCCAAATTAAAAATAGAGCTGTCATATGACCTAGCAATTCCACTTCTGGGCATTTTATGGAAATAAAAGCACTAACCTGAAAAGATATATGCACCTCTATGTTCACTGCACCATTACTAGTGATAGCCAAGATATGGAAGCAACCTAGATGTCCATCCATAGATGAATGAATGGATAAAGAATATGTGGTACATACATACAATGGAATATTATACAGCAATAAAAAAAAAGAATGAAATCTTGCCATTTGTGACAACATGGATGGACTCAGAGGGTATTATGCTAAGTGAAGTAAGTCAGAGAAAGACAAATATATTATTTCACTTATATGTGGAATCTAAAAAACAAAACAAACTGTTAAACAAACAAAATGAAACAGAAATAAACTCATAGATATAGGGAACAAACTGCCAGAAGAAAGGAGAAGGAATGGGCAGAAAAGGGGAAGGGAATTAAGAAGTACACACTTCCAGTTATAAAATAAGTCTTGAGAATATAGCATACAGCATAGTGAAAACAGCCAATGATATTGTAATAACTATGTTACTAGATTTATTGTGATGATTATTTTGTGTGAAGTATATAAATATTGAATCATCATGTTGTATACCCAAAACTAATACTGTATATCAGCTATAATTCAAAATAATTTTTTTAAAAGACAATGTAAAAAAGTTTTTAAAAAAACGTAAAAAAAAAAAAAAAATAGTGTGGTAAAGACAAAACAAAACAAAACAAAACGCTCTGGAGAAAGCCCAGAAAGAATACTCCCAATCTCACCTGGGCTCAGGCACGGCTTCCTAGAGGAAGTGACACCACGCAAAGACTTAGGTAAACATCGGTGAGCTTCCTCCATAGCCCTGTGAAGCCTCCATCTGCTTCTTTTTATGTTTGAAGGAAAAATTTATGAATTAATTCTGACACCTGCTACAACATGGATGAACCTTGAGGACATTATGCTCACTGAAATAAGCCAGATAGAAGAGGACGAATACTGTACAGTCCCATTCATAGGAGGTCCCTAAAGGAGTCAAATTCATAGAGACAGAAAGTAAACTGGTGGGTGCCTGGGGCTGGAGGAAGGGACGAGGAGTTAGTGTTGGATGGGAACAGAGTTTCAGAGGAGATGAGAAGAGTTCCAGAGACGGATGGTGGGGATGGCTGCACAACAGTGTGAATGTACTTATGCCACTGAGCTGTACACTTAAAAATAGTTACGATGGTACCTTTTATGTCATGTACATTTTATCACAATAAAAAAAACTGGAAAGAGTTAAAACATGGAAGCAACACAAGTGTCCACAGATGGATGAATGGATAAACAAATTGTGACCCATCCATACAATGGAATATTATTCAGCCTTAAAAAGAAAAAAAATTCTCAATCAAAGAGTTCTTTGATAGGTGATTGGATAAAGAAGCTGTGGTACATATACACAATAGAATATGACTCAGCCATAAGAAGAGATGAAATACTGCCATTTGTGACAACATGGATGGATCTTGAGATAATCGTGCTAAGTGAAAAAACTCATACAGAAAAAGTTGAGAACCATATGATTTCACTTATTTGTGGGATATAAAACTGAAAGCAACAAACGAACAAGACAAACAAAAACTCATAAACACAGACAACAGTTTAGTAGTTACCAGGGGGTAGGGAGGAAGGGGGTAAGTAGATAAGAGTAAATGGGGTCAAATATATGGTGACAGAAGGAAATTTAACTTTAGGTGATGAACACACAATGCAATATATATATGACATATTATTGAACTGTACACTTAAAACCTATATCATTTTATTAACCAATGTCACCTCAATAAATTTTTGTTTGCATAATTATTTATTATTATTATTTAGGCCTATAGCACCTGGTCTTCCTAGATGGTCTCCCATCCAAGTACTAACGAGGCCTGACCCTGCTTAGTTTCCAAGATCATACTGGATTGGGCTTGTTCAGGGTGGCATGGCCGTAGACCATGGACCGTGGCTCCGCTGGGGCATGAACCTACCACCTTCTGCATGTAAAGTAGACATGGTAACTGCTACACTATAAAGCAATGTTCCCCAATAAATTTTTTTAAAAAGGAAAGAAATTATGGTACAGGCTATGGATGAATCTTGAAGACATTATGCTCAGTGAAATAAGCCAATCTTATATGAAGTCCCTAGAATAGTCATTCATTGAGAAAGAAAGCAGAATGGTGGGTGCCAGGAGCTAGGAAAGGGAAGAATAGGTACTTATTGTTTAATGAGGACAGAGTGTCAGATTCATGAGATGAAAAGAGTTATGGGCATGGATGGTGGTGATGGCTGCAGAACAATGTGAATGTATTTAATATCACTTAACTGTACACTTAAAATGGTTATGATGGTAAATGTATGTATTTTAACACAAGAAAAAAATTAGAAAAAAAGTTCATGAATTAAATCATGTCAAACATAACAATACATTAAATTTAAAAACCTGGTGGCTATTTTAAATTTTAATGAGTTAAGACGTATTTAAATTTGTGTGCATTTCCTTGAAACTCTTTTCATTGGAACTGATGACAAATTGGAGAACCAAGCAGATTCAGTTCACAGATGGATCTGGAAAGCCAGCAGCAAGGTTTAAATGCATTTATCGAATGCCAACGAAGTGACAAACCCCCTGTGGGCACTATGTGTGGACCATAGCAATGTACTCTCAGAACAACACAATGAGGAAGATGTCCCCAAAATAGAGATATGGGGGTGAAGCAACTTGTCCCAGGTCACACAGGGAGAGAAGCTTCTCCTCAGGATTTAAGCCCAGGAGCTGTGAGTCACACTTCGCATTCCTAACATCTTCCTTATACTGTCTCCCCGAAATATGAGTTACTTGCCAACATTTCATCTGCAGATTACACATAGTAATCTGGAATTTCAACTTTTCCTTAAGAATCAGACCTGTCTCTACCCTATGATTCCTGATCGGGCCCCTTTCTCTGGATTATTTGCCCCTCCAGATGGTTGGATTTCTGACCCAAGACCAAGAGGAAAAAATTGACCCCAGAGGCTGAAGTGAGCTAAGGCAAAGACACCTGCTCCGTCACCACTCACCTTGGCGTGTCCAAGGACCGGATGACAGTTGAAAGGAGCCGGCCATCCCTTGAAGTCACCTGTGCCACATATTGGGGTGGCCCGAGACCTGTGGCCTCCACAACCTTGGAGAAGGCGGGGCTGCTGGAGCAGTCACACAGGGAGCCAGGGAGGTGACAGCAGTCACCTGTCGTCATGGCCACAGGGAGCACCGTGTCCTCAGGGCCAGAGGCCCATGGTCCCAGAAGCCTGAGGAGAGGTTGGCAGGGAGATGAAGGGCAAGGTTAATAAGCTGGATACAGACCAGGGTTTGAATCCAAGTCTCTCAGCCTTGCTCGTCCAATCTGGAAGTTGGGGCTTTGTAGGGGATCATGAAGATGCAATGAGACCACAAGTGCAACTCAGCCCGGGCGTGGTACACAGCTGGGGTTGGTTATAATATCTCTAACTCTCCTAAGAAAGGCCAACCCGGTCCAGCCCTCAAAGCTTGCAGGCCACCCCCAAATTCACCTTTCCAGATATGGTAACAGCACCTAACAGTTACTGAGCACCTGCTGTGTGGCAGGCTCTATGCCTGGTGCTTTCCGGTGCCAGAACCATGCCCACCAACCACGTAGAGACTGTTTCTCCACGGAATGAATTCCCGGGGCTGGGTTCAAAGCACATGAGCCTGCTTCTGAGTGGGGGCAGAACTGAGACGGCAACCCGATCCCACAGAAGATGGTGAGTCACCTTGACCCGTCTGGTTCACGGCTTCTTGTATAGCTCTGAACTCTTTGATACCTCAGGCCATCAAGGAAGTAGCCCTAGCTGGGGAGGACCTTGGCAGCCTCTGTCCCCACCAGAGCAGCTGCTCTAAGTCATGCCTCTGTTCCAGAGAGGCCAAGAAAGACCATTGGAGCATTGGGCAGCAATGTGAAGTCAGCTCTGGGAGGGTGACTTGAGCAGGCCTTGGTGCCCCACTCAGGGTCTGACCTGCCAGAAGGAACCTTTGGCGACCTCCTCGTCCATCCCGGAACCAGCCAACAAGACTTGCGTGTCTCCCCCTGAGAATTTTACGTAAGTAACAGATGCCCCTCTAGATGTCCTGGAAGCCAATACAGGTGCCCTGGAGCTAAGGCTCTCTGTCCCAAACTTGTCTCATCCTTTGTCTCCAGGAATTATGATCCAGGACCCAGAAATACTGACTGAGGTACCCCCACAGTCAGCTTTAACCAACTCCTGCCAGTCAAAATCTGAGACCCAAAGAGAGAGGGTAGGGGGAAAGCAGCATGAGTTATTGACTAACTTTTTGCACTAGGACAGTCTGCCAATGGATGAATGCCCTCTGAACAGCTCTGCCAGAAGCATTCCCAGCCCAACATGCCTTTCTGAGCCTCCACAGCAAGGCCAGATAAGCAAGTATCAGCCAGAGGCAGTAGGAGTCAGGAGGAAGGGTGGCTGACTGAGATAACATCTGTGGGACAGTGGTCAGCCTGCCATGCTGTATATGCTGCTGTCCCTCCCAAGTGCCTGCAACCAGAACTTCCGGCCCAGAGATCAGCAGGGAAGCCACTAGCCCATCCAAGGGAATGCTCCTGGCCCTCCAAGGATCAGCCTTAACATTCCTGCAAGTAATTGGTCATTACGAGACTCGTAACAGCTCCTACATATTAAGTTCTGCCATTCCTTTTACTGTCAGGGTGGGGGTGGGGGAATCTAGGTAGATCTGCTAAGATCAAGGCCTGAAAATGGCCAAAATAAATAATAACAGCACTTACTCTTTATTTAGGACCCACTGCATACCAGGTATTGTGCAAAGCTCTCCGAACTCTAAATAGTTGTTTTAAGTGTCCCCTGCAAAGGTTATCTCCCCAGAGAGGCCCTTCCTGACTACTCCAGCTAAAGTGCCATTGGTGTCCACATTATTACCCTCATATAATGTGCTCCCTCCAAAATGCTCTTATTTCTTCACTTATTTGTGTAACCACATCTGTCTTCCATGTTTCAGGGAGCTCTGTAAAGGAGGGACTAAGTTAGACTTGCTTTCCGCTGTGCCCAGCACCTGGCCCTGTGTCTGGCACGGAGTGGTTGCATTAATTTCTTAGTCCCTGCTCTGTGTAAGAGCAGAACTGTGTTATTAAGATCAAGGTCTCTTGGTCTGCCAGCGCCCATGGCAGGAATCAAAGATGTTTAGAGGCTAGAGGTCCATGCAAACCACAGAGGCCTGGGCAAAGAGGCCAAACTCGAGGCCAGACATAAGGATAGGATGGCTGCAGGCTGGACTCAGCTCTGGGGCTGGGGTGGGAGACGGAGCCAATGCACAGGGCAAACTTTGCCCAGTGCCCGGGAGATGGACTTTACACCTTCACAAACCTATGAAGTAAGGCCCATTTGAGACTGGGGCTCAGAGAAGGGCAGCTACTTGCCCAAGGTAACACAGCTAAGAAGGGACAATGCCAGGATTTAAACTTAGTCCAATGAGTAGGTCTGGGACTCAAGAAACCTGGGTTCTTTTAAGCCCTGACTCTGTCACTGAGCTGTGTGTCCTAGAACAAGTCACTGCTTCTCTGGGCCTTGGCCTTCTCTAGCAAATAAGTTGACTAAATTGGTGGACTGTGTCTGCTGAGGAGCTTCCTGAGAAGGAGCCTCCAGGCTCAGTTTCTCCAGTGAAGCTTGCCCTTGGCTAGGCCTGGCTGGGTGGCCCGGGGGCACCACGACCTCTCCGCATCTGCCCAGCCTCCTTTTGCTGAAGGGAGGAAATGGAGGAAAGAGAAGTCATAGGGCCCCAATCCCCCACAGGGTGACCTTTGACCAGCTGCTTCATTCTCTGGCCTCGGTTTTCTCGTGTGTAAAATGGGAGTCATAATGATACCCCACTCAAAATTCTATACACATTAAGAAGTCAAATATCTCTTATTATAATTGCTGTCATTTGCTTACAGATGTTAGGAGGGTCTGATGAGAGGAGGCACTGTAAGAACACATGGTAAGTGCTCAATAAATGCACACCATTATTATTGCTTAGGACAAATGCAGAGCTTGTGAAATACATTCATTTCTCATTACTCACCACAGAGAGACTCCCTGTGTGCCTTTCAGTACTTCCATGGCCCTGGGTTGGAGGCTAAGTTCCAATGCCAGCTCTGCTCTTATTTGCTGTGTGGCCCTGGGGAAAACCTGATCTCTCTGAGCCTCGATTTTCTCATCTGTATAACGGAACATTTCTAGTACTTGCATCTATTATGGTCCCTAGACGACTAAATGAACTAATCATATAAATTCTGGCTAGCCTGTTTTGAGCACCAACAGCCTGCTGGAACTCTGCTAAGCAACTCCTTTCTACACGGTGCCTGGCTCCCTATAATATTTGCTACTTTACAGGCAGAGCCCCTTTGAGGAGGTTGGGGAAGGACACTGGCCACTTACTGACGGCCTACTGTGTGTCTGACACTCTCCTCATCGCCACCTTCTGAATCCTCCCAACGGCCCCATTAGGTTGGCGCTGAGATGACCCAATTTCACAGATGGGAAAACCGAGGCTCGGAGACCTCCTGCCGCCCTCGAGACGGGAACTGCGATCCCCTCGTCTAGGGTAAGGCTGAGGCCGAGGGTCCAAGCCCAGTCACCTAGCCCGGGGCCAGGTTTGGGCCTCGAACCCGGGGCCGGCCCGCGGACCGGCATAACCTGGACCCACCCAGCTGCCTGTGCCTACCTGATCTGCGGCCGGGCCGGGAGGCCGCGCAGAACCCTCTGCTCGCCCCGGGTCCCGGCCCGGCCGGTCCAGTCAGCACCGCTCTCTCCGCTCCGGCCGGCACCTGCGTCGGGACACCGCCCGCCGAGCCGACGGAGCCTCGGGCCAATGGCGACCGCCTCCTCCCCCGCACTGACCAATAGTGGTGCACGTCCCGCCCTGTGAGGCGGGGCCAGAGGCGACAGGGACGTCCTGGGCCGCACAAACTCCGCGGCGCCGCAGCTGCTGGGTCCGCCCCCAACACCGGCTCCGCCCCCAGTCCTGGTCCCGCCCCATCCCCGCACGGGGCACGAGCAGAGCAGCTGGCGCCACCAGCCGACGAGCAGTCCTTGCTAATAAAACTGTGGCTGACACCGGGCAAAGGGATTTGAGTGTCCATCACCTCACTGACTAATCCTGGCCACCATATGGTCACATTTTACAGAGGGGAAAGAGAAGACTAGAGAAATTAGGAGGCCGTGGAAGAGCCGAAAACCAACATCATTCATTAATTTAATAAATTCACTAGATGTAACATAACATCAATAAGAGGGCCTATTATGAGTCAGGCACTGTGCTAGGCACTGGCGACACAATGTTCAGTAAGAGAAATATTGCTTGCCTCAGGGATCTCAATCTAGGGAGTAAGACAGACATAAAACAACCAATTACGTTATTATTAATTACAAAGGTGACAAATTGTAGCAAGTGAGGGGGGCATATAATGGAATAATTTGGAAAGGCCAAAATACGTCCTTGAAGAAGAAACAGTTGAACTGACAAGTAAAGTGTGAGCGGAGGTTAACTAAAAGAAAAGGGGGGGCCGAAATCCTAGGTAAAGAATTCAAGCACATGCAAAAAGCCTGAACTTCTTTCCCCTCCTGCTCCTGCCTTTATTTAATATATGTCAGCTCAATTACCTCAGTTAAATTCTGTTGTGTTCTACTAGCTTATATTGTTATAATAAATCATAACATTTTTTAAAAGGTAACCTATAGAGGCAAGGAGTATAATGGTGGGGACAGAGATAGAAGCTAGACTTTTAAAAATATACCTTGTTTTATATATTTGACTTTACAACCATGCAGATATTTAATATAATTATAAAATAAATTTAAAGATATTCCTAAAAACAAAAATAAAACAAATAAACCATATCTGGTTGGTGACAAAACAACGCAGAGGTGAACTAGAAACTTTAAAACACGATTTGACTGTATATACCACTACTATATTCTGAGCTTATTGCATGTGTAGTATGGAATAAAGCAAAGGAGTAATTATGTTGGTGTCAAGACCTGGGATTTTCAGAGGGAGCGAAAGAGATATAGATGTAAGATTGATTACATTAAATAAAAAGACTGTAGTCTTGAATTTGAATCGAGAGTATCATGATATATTTTATCTTTCTAAAAAGTGAATATTTCCGATACTTCTGTTGATTAAAAGTTCAGAAACAAAGACCAACCTTGTTGCAATGAGCACTCCTTAAGCTTATGATCTCTAAATACCATTTCCAATCAAAAGAACCAGTGAACTTTGAGGGAACGTCTGATGCTGGGTCTGCTGCAGGAAACGTACAAGATGAACCTGGCACATCTTGATATGCCAGAAAGCACAAGAGTCATTGAAGACATTACCTAGTCTACAGCCATGCCACCCTAAACAAGCCCGATCCCATCTGATCTCAGAAGCTAAGCAGGGGCCCACCTGGTTAGTACTTGAATGGGAGACCACCTAGGAAGACCAGGTGCTGTAGGCATAAAAAATAAGGGATTGTAAGCTGACAAGGTTTTTGCAAACTGTGAGGTCAACCAAGGGTTGCCTCACCTAATAAATAAATAAATAAATAATTTTTTTTTAAAAAAAGACATTACCTAGTAAGGTAGTGTCAATGGGGACCAATCAGAAGAAGCTTCCACTGACAACAAATTGGACAATTTGGCCTCCAATAAGAATGATGATTGCAGATCAAAACATACCAAATGTTTACATTTATGTATTTGGGTTTTAAATTTTTTATCTTAAAATAATGTCAAAAATACATAAAAGTTGCGGAAATAATGCACAGAGCTCCCATAAACCTTTTGGCCAGATTCTCTAGTTGTTAAGATCTGTGAATCCTTTGAGTATCAGGTGCATATATGGTGTCTCATTAATCCTTAATACTTCAGTGTATATTAAGCGCACTCTTCCACATAACTGCAGTACAACCTTCAAAATCAGGAAATTAATATTGATCCAATATTACCATGTAATTCCCAAATCCCATTCACGGTTGCATAGTCTCCTCAGTCAAGAACTGTTCCTCAATCTTTCCTTGTCTTTCATGATCTTGATACTTTTGAAGATTATGGGCTAGTTATTTTACAAGAAGTCTCTCCATTGGTGTTTGTCTAATATTTCCTCATGGTTTATGCATTTGCAGCAGGAACCACGCAAATGATGGTGTTCCCAGTGCACACATCAGGAGGCACAGAATGTTGGTTTTTTTCTATCAACAATTATGCTAACCTGGTTAAGTCTGCCTAATTTCTCCAGTGTGATCAGTATGCCACACGTTAATAAGTGCTTTATGGGAAAATACTTTAAAACTAATTAAACATCCTATTCCTCAGCAAACCTCCACCCACCAGATTGAATATCCATTGATGACACTTGCCTGAATCAATTTTTATTGTTGTCAACAAAGAAGGTTTTGTGGGCATTTTTTTGTTTAATTTGTTTAACTTTTTTAATTGTTATTTTTAAGAGGGTTTTGTATTACATGAATTCTAGAGGAGGATGGCTGCTGGCATTGGCTTGGTCTACGATTCTGTGATTGTCTTGGCATTTTTCTCATGGTAGCAAGAGAGCTGCTGTTCCTCCAGGCATTACATCCTCAATCAAGGCAGGAAGAAAGGGGCAGCTTGGAGATGTTATCAATGCCTGTCTCTTTTATCATATAATGGTTGCTAAATAATCTTTCTAATTCTGACTGAGTACTTCCTTACTTACCCGCTCAGCAAGATGTTTGGGGGCTGGGGAAGGGGATGGCGTTTTCTTGACTTTCTCCCTGACCCAGCTCTGAAATTAACCAGTTCTCCAAGGAGCCCTGGTTCCTTTTAGTGGGGAATGAATGATATTTAGAAACCAAGATCTTAGTGCTAGGTGTGCTCATTTCTACTGGTAAAGGGAAGAGGAATGAGAACTAAATATTAAACCAAGCTGTATTCAGAGCCTGCAATGTGCTGCCAGACCAGGGGAAGCCTACTGAACAAAAGAAGATTCCTTTCTGGCTGGCATCAAAACAAACCATTTACCCATACCATGAAAGGAAAACAGTAAAACAGTCTGTAAGTTGTACCTTACACAAAATAAACCCAAGCATTCATTCTCTACGGCCAGACCACGGGGAATCAATAGAACAAAAGCTGAGATTGCTAACGCCTTTCACGCTACATAGTCATACCTTTCACGCTGTATACTCATACCATGAAAGGAAAATAGGAAACCATGTCTTTAAAATGTAATTCACAGAACCTAAGCATCACATATAAACTGATTTCTTCTTATATTTGGGGTCTCGCTCATTCTCTGTCTCTGAGAGGAGACAACGCCTTGTCTGTGGAGCATTATTCCTTCTCTAATAATAAATTTTCCTTTTATCTCAACTCTGGTGTGTGCTTGAATTCTCCTGCACACAGTCAAGGACCCTCCCTCTCCCTCAGTGCAGGACTTGAGTCTCAACTTGGGGGAGTTTGCCCCATCCTGCATCACTACCACGGTATCATTAATTCTCGATTCTCTCATCGTAATACATGTGTATGTATGTACCTATATATAGACATGTACTTCACATTAAAACCATGAATGCACACCAATACCTCTAGTTCTAATCCAACATCGAGATTTATTCCAGCCCCTTTACAAATTTCTAACTTACTTCTCTGAATGTGAGAAACCTGGCTCCCAAGATTTTAAGTGAATTTACTCATTTTTCCATCCCCGCACCTCACCCTGTGTATAACCAAACTCCTCGATACACTGGCCAAGGCTCAGCCCCAGATGTACAGCCCCTGCTCAATTCCGTTTCCACGGGGCACACTGGTTGAAAGCCTGACCCCAACAAAGGGGCTAAATACATAAATTTGAACTTAAAATAATAATGGTCATCGGTTACCTTTGAAGGCTACTTAGGAACCAACTCAAAATCTTGAAAATTATAACATTTGAAAATTGATAAGCAAAGAATTAAACATTTAATCTGTATCTCAGGATTAACACATAGATGAGGAGAAATTTCTTTTTATAGATGTATTCCAGAAATAAACGAGGATGGGATAGAATTTGAGCGTCATCATTTTGTAACCCCTAATGGGTTACAGATCTACCACAAATGAGAAACGCACTGACACTATCTGCTCTTAGTGTTGTATACCACGTCGCCTATGAGGTACTCGATATGATCAACTTCTAGATCTATCAATTTACAGGAAGTCCCGGGCAAAAGGGATATGTTAAATGACACTATAGGTTTATGAGAGAAAAAGCAGATGAGTGGCTGCCAGGGGCTGGGGGAGGGAAAATGGGAGTGACTGCTTAGTGGATACTGGGTTTCTTTTTGGGAGTGGTGAAAAGTTCTGGATTAGATAGTGAAGGTTGCACAACATTGCAAATATACTAAATACCACTGCATGTACATTTTAAAACGGTGAATTTCATGTTATAAGAATTTTATCTTAAATTTTTAAAAAGCAAAAAGACACCATAGGGAAGCCATCAGCAAAATTCACACTGAGAAAGTACAATACAAATGACCCATTTCTTAAAAATAAAAATCATTAAAAATTTTAAGACAGGGAGACACTGGCTAGATATGTGATATTAAGAAATTATTGTTCATTTCTTTAGATGTAATAGTAGTATTGAGGTTATGTTCCCCCTTCCCCCCCAAAAAAAATTTGTATTTTCGAGATGCATACAGCAGTATTTCCAGATTTGCCAATGGGAGGGTAATAGGTGAAACCAGATTGGTTGAAGTTGGGTGATGGCATATAGGGGTTCATTCAATGTAAGAAACATCCAAACCTGTAGAGAATTTTTACGAGTTTATCTGAGCCAAACTGATGACATATACTGGGGAGCAAGATCTCAGATGTTCAGGAGAATAACAAATTTCAGTTTTGTGTGTGTGTGTGTATGTGCATTTGAAATTAAGGAGGGAATGTAAGGAAGATTACATGGAGGTGTGAGAAAGCAAGGTGAGGATTGATTAAGATCATTTGCTCTCTTGAGGGTGTTTATGTCTTAGATGGTGGGGTCTGAAAGGGTGTTCACACACTAGAAAGAGGGATCTAAAAAGAGGCATTTCAAAGTGTGTTAACACAGAAACAAGGGCCTGGGCTCAGTTCAGGCAAACATAAACCTTTTACTAAAAACTTATGTGCCTGGGGCATTACTATCCCCATAACCCAACCGCCCAGTTAGGAATTTATGATCTAATCATCCTGTGAGGTAGGTGACTTTCTACAGAACTCATTCTTTTTGTCTACATTCTCTCCACTTTAATGCATCTAAAATTTTCCATAATAAAAAATTTTAAATTAAAAAACATTTTTAAATTTTGGTATACTTTTTACCAGTGTTTTATCTGGGCATTTGCTTCAATTGTTCCTGGCACGTAGCGAGCACTCAACACACACTGGGAAAAGCCCTATAGCTTAGTGGTCATGAATACAGCTCTGGGGTAGAAACCTGCTTGCTTCTAACTGAGACCCTGGGTGGGTCACTGAACTGTTTCCCTGTAAATTATACCCATTCCTAGGGTTGCTGTGACTACTAAATAAATTACGACATGTAAAAGGCTTTTTTTTTTTTTTTGTGGAACTGTGTTCTTTTGTTTCATAATTTATTTAGGCTAACAGTTCCTCCAAAAATTAAACACAGAATTTATCATGTGATCTAGCAATTCCACTTCTGGGCATATACCCAAAAGAATCAAAAGTAGAGACTCTAACAGATACTTATGCACAATAGCCAAAAGATGGAAGCAACTGAACGGATGATGGATAGACACAACATGCTCCATCCACAAAATGGAATATTTAGCCTTAAAAAAGGATATCTTGACACATGCTATAGTATGGCTGGGACCCGAGTACATTATGTTCAGTGAAATAAGCTGGTCACAAAAGGACAAATACTGTACGATTCCATTCATTACGAAGTCCCTAGAGGAGTCAAATTTGTGGACCAAAAATGGGAGTTCTATGGAAAGTAACCTCACAGGGTGATCTGACTATAAATTCCTAACTGAGCAGGTCATGGTGGGTAGTCAGGCCCCAAGCATGTGTCTTTTTAGTAAAAGGTTATGTTTGCCTCGAGCAAGCCCTGCCCATTGCTTCTGTGCACCTAGGTTAACACACCTTTGAAATGCCCTTTCCTACCTCTCCTAAAGCATGCAAGAGAACACATAATCTTGACTATCCTGTAATCCAATCACCATTTTACTTTTTCCCCACCTTCTTGTAATCTTATGTTCCGTCCTCAATCTCAAATGTGTAAAAGATACTGCAAACTGTTATTCTCTGAAGCATTTTTCTAAACCTGGTGATGTTTCTTCCAGGTGTATTCTGTTTGGCGCAAATAAATTTTTGTTAAAATTCTCCACAGGTTTGTATGTTCTTACATTAACAAATTCATAGAGACAAAGTAAACGGTGGCTGCCAGGGGCTGGGGAAAGCTAGTGTTTCATAGGGACACAGCTTCATTTTGGTAAGATGAGAAAGTTCTGGAGATGGATACTGGTGATGGTACTTAACGCCACTGAACTGACCACTTAAAAATGGTGGAGATGGTAAATTTTATGTTATGCGTATTTTCCGTAAAAAACAAACAAACAAACAAAACAAACTCTTCAGAACAGTGCCTAGCATAAAGGGAGCATGCTGAAATTAGAATAACTGAAATAGCATCACTGGTCTGTCACCCCCAAGGGGACAGTCATGTCGGTCTCGTTCGCCAGTATGTGCCCAGGGCCTGACCCATCTGAGGCTCCAGAGACTGGATCTTTGACTGCCTGAAACATCTTCTGCACGCCTCATTGCTTTACCTGGCCTTCCTGAAGCCTCTGCTGACCCTGTGCCCTTTCCACACCCCACCCCGCCCAAAGCCAGGGGAGTCAGCACCCCCAGGGTCCGTGTAAATGAGTGTACCCCACCAGATTCCCCACCCTGGGTGCTCCTCGGCCCCAAGCACGTGCCGTGGTTCACTCTGACTCCCCTATCAGAACAGCACCTTCAACTCGGAATTCTTCCAGAGGGGCATCTGGGTTGGCCCACCCCTCTGGCAGGGCAGGCAGAGCCTGGAATCAGGAGGACGTGGACCCCCCTCTGGTGTCTCTCCTAGGGGTCCAGGGCACAAGTGGTTTTACCCTGAGGCTGGAGCTTCTAAAAAAGCTGCTGGCACTCAGGTGAGAGGGTACATACACTGAGTCCTGTGCTCAGCGCAGGGAGGGCTGGCCACACTGCCGCCTCCTCCTCCACAGTGGGAACTGGCCCTCAGGCCAGCCCTGCTGATGTGTGGATGAGGGGAAGCAGAAAAGCAGAGGAGCCTCAGGTCACCTGCCTCCCCTCTGCCACCAGTGTCCCACTGGGCCCTCCTCAGAAGTCAGTCTAGGATAGAGCTGGGGTGGGGCTGGTATTGCCAACATCTCCTGGGCTGGCCCCTCTTATTAGTCTTTGCTGAGACCACAGGTGAGGCAGTGGCCAGCTGGGGAGTAGATGGAAGCACTGAGCAGTTCAGGGCCCAGGGCTAAGAACTGGGAGCAGTGGGCACAGTCCATTCCCTCCTGGAGGGCTGTCCTCAAGCCCCAGAGCTAGTAGCCCCAGTGCCAGGGAGTTTAATGTCAACCCCACTAGGCCTTCCCTGCCCCTCTGCCACTGTACCCTTACCAACCCTGAGACCCCACGGTCAGCTCAGGGTGCTTCCACATGGTCCTGGGTGGGAGCTCAGGCCTGGTCCTTTAGCTCCCTGTAAGGGTGAGCTGGGTGGGACAGGGGCCCATTGCATGACATGTGCAAGGGGCCTAGCTTAAGGGTGGCCACCTGGTGGGGAGAAAGAAGACAAAGGCGCAGTGGCAGGTTTCTGTCCAGGAAGTCGGATTATACATTTTAGTAACGGGCCAGAGAAATGAGGCATCGGGGCAACAGTGCAGGGGCCACAGGAAGAATAAGAGATCTGACAGCTGGGGTTTGGCGTCAATCTTACAAAGTGTATAAAGAATCTGTGTTTCTCTACAATAACAAAAAAAC